GGAAATAGAGGGTTACCGAAAGTTTAGTTAAAGACTAGAACTACGGCGGTGATGTAAAGCTCTCAAGAGTGAGAACTGTGGGTCTTAAGGTGTAATACTGAATGAATTGTGAGAGGACATGCCTCAACCTATATAGTAGTTGTAGGATCTTTGAATCCTAGTAAGACTACGAGTCCATGGCGGTTAAGGTTTAGTGAATAGGAAAGCCTTTGATTCCCTTGCCTTAATAGGGGGATGAGTCTTATTTAGCCTAAGATTCGGATCTTAGACGAATTAGGATATAGATGGATCTCTTCGAGAGTATCCGGATAGTACCAAAATAGGAAGTAGGTAGCCTTGGGCTCTAAGTAAACCCTAGGTACAGTTGGTGATTTTGGATCAATGGGCATGGGCCTAGATAAGCTGATGGTGAGGCCTAAGCAAATCTGGGCCTTATTGATTGGGCTCGGGCAATGAGCAACCTAGTAGGTGTAATGAGTGGTCCCAATACTTGAATTCTGTTATAGGCCCAATTGGAATTGGATCGTGACTTTGAGCTTTGTTAAATGTGTTTTCGTCTTCAGGCCTACTGAGGTCGGGGACATTTTTTTGGCCCTAACAAGAATGACAAATGTATAGGTATGTTGCATGTTTGGATATCTTGAGATTATTGGTTGAAAAATACAGGCTTCGTTGGAAGTTGAGATTTCTCTAGCTTTTCTTAAAGCATAACGGTTAAAGAGGAGTCTTGATGAGGACTGACAGGAAAATATCACATGTTATGATCACTTACTTGTTGGGTGTTATTCTTCCCACACTCCCAGATTAGTGATCCGTGTTAATTTGATTATTAGTAATTGTAATCATGAATTGATCGTATATCGATGAAAGATGTAAAGGGTACTTTGGTTCATTATTGATAATCATAGTGGTTGAATTGTTTGGTTGAAGTGCCATATGTGGACTATTTTGTTTTATTCAAACAGTGGCAACTCTAAAATGAAATATTTGTATTGTTTACTTAAGAGTCAAAGTTGTTTTGTTTTCTTAAGATAAAAATAAAATAAAATTATTAATGTAGCCCAAGTGAAAGAATGTTTGAAAATTTCCTAATTATGGACTAACATTAATTCTATTTTGGTTTAATAAAACCGAGTAGATGCACACTTAATCCTATGAGATATTGAATTTCCGTGTTTTCTAACAATAATAGCCAGTTGAGGATGTTCTATTGGTTGACAATTTGAGGGAGAGCAAAGTTTTGGATGGGACTTGGTAAACAACCTTAATACATTAAATATTAGAGATAAAATTTAGCTATTGAGTGAGATAAAATGTGGCGATTGTGTGAGGCAAATCGGTGAGTTGGGATTTTGAATGTTTGAAGGGAGGCCTTGAAGGGTTTGTTTTTTAGGTGGAGAAAGATAGAGAGGGGAGTAGCAGTGAAAGTGGAGGTTAGGGTTAGGGTCCTAGGGTTTGAAATGAAAAGCGGGGCTTGGTGGAAGAGGAGAGAAATGTCCATCCAAAGCCGAGAAGAGAGGTGGCCTCGATCAACACCCACAGAACCTATGCTGCATTAAGAAACTCTTCAGATTTTTATTTTAATTGTAACCAGTTATAAAATTAACTAATATAACTTATTTAATTTATATATTTTGAAAATGTTTATATTTATTTGGCAGAAGGGTTTGATGGATTTTTTAAAAAATATTCTTTGATTTTTTTTAGTTGATTTTTTTGTTTGTTTCATGGCCATATCTCCACTGTGGCCGTCGTCGACATTAGTGGCAAGTCGCGGGTAGTGGCTTAGGATGGGTGGGGTATTTTATTAAGTTTTAAACATTTTTTATTGTTGAGGTGTCTTAGCTAAATCTGAAATATAAAGAGTTAAAAGAATTATTCAAAAAATAATATTATATTAATATTGAAAAAATGAGAGCAATTTAGTAATTTAATAATATATCCATCAATTTATTCTTCCCAACCTAACATATTAATATAATATAACCACCAATTTATTCTAGTCAATTAAACACATTTCTCTAAATATTCTCTATAATCTTAAAAACAACCTATCTTTCTATTACTATAACATATCCAGAAATATAATACTCTCGTATCAAAGACACCCTTGAAACTTTCCTTGGTCCACTCTCCACAATCAAAGATTCAATTCAATTAAAGTTTCGTCAATTTAGGTGACGTGTCGAAATAGAGAATTTAAAAAGACACGTGGAAGGGGAGTGACGATCTTGCATACGTTTCTTGCATATATTTTCATATTAATTGAAAATTCGGATAATTTATTTTAGTTTTAGCTTCCCCTTTTTATCAATATGAATATGATTTTTTGTTTCACATTTCAAATTCTCAATCACCTTTTAGCCAATTTGCCAGTAATAGCAAATTAATGAGTCGTGACAGGTCAAATTATCAATATCCAAGTTTAGACCCCACCAGACCTTATAATCTCCAATAATCAATTACTTTCGCCCTATTTATAAACCCAACACTTTCCTCTCTGTTCTTCACATCCAAATCTAATCAAACTCATATTCATCACAAAATTTTGATCTTTTATCACCCATGTCGCTTAATCTTCTTACTTCATTTCTCCTTTTAATTTTCACTTCACTCGTCTTCTTTCTCATAACCAGAACTAGAAACTCCAAACCTAAAGGTTCATCATCTTCATATCCTTCCACTAATGTAATTCTTCCAAAGTCCTACCCAATAGTGGGCTCTTTTTTCTCTTTTCTAGCCAACCAAAACCAGTTACTCCAGTGGGTAACTTCTATTCTGCAAAATGTTCCTTCAGCAACATTTACCTTGCAGAGGTTAGGAGGCCAGGTCACTATCTTGACAGCCAATCCGGCTAATGTCCAACACATCCTCAAAACTAACTTCTACAATTACCCAAAAGGCGACGGCTTTCGATCAACTCTCTTCGACTTTTTGGGTAATGGTATTTTCAATATTGACGGCGAAGAATGGAAGTTTCAAAGACAAATTTCCAGCCACGAATTCAATACCAAATCCCTCCGTAAATTTGTCGAAACTGTAGTCGAAACTGAACTCTCCGATCGCCTTATTCCCATTCTTGAAACGGCGGCTGCCAATAAACAAGTGCTCGATTTTCAAGATGTTCTTCAAAGATTTGCTTTTGATAATATATGCAAGATCGCTTTCGGGTACGATCCGGAGTATCTATTGCCATCTTTTCCAGAAGCCAAATTCGCACAAGCTTTTGACGAGGGTGTTAAAATAAGCAGCGAAAGATTTCGAGCGACTTTACCAATAATCTGGAAAATTAAACGGCTTCTCAATATTGGCTCCGAAAAGCGTCTAAAACTTGCAGCTTCTGAAGTCCGAGAATTCTCAAAGAACATCATAAAAGAAAAGAAACTAGACCCTGGTGAGTCTATGGATCTTTTGTCACGATTCTTGAGTTCAGGCCAATACGACGATGACTTTGTTACTGATATAATCATCAGCTTAACACTCGCCGGCCGAGACACCACATCAGCGGCTTTGACGTGGTTCTTCTTGCTCATCTCAAAAAACCCTGAAGCTGAAAAGGAAATTCTCAAGGAAATCAAAGAAAAATCAGACACACTAGTTTACGAAGACATCAAAGACATGGTGTACACGCACGCATCACTTTGTGAGAGCATGAGATTCTACCCACCCGTACCGGTAGACTCCAAGTTTGCTGAGAAGGACGACGTATTGCCGGACGGGACGGTTGTGAAGAAGGGCATGCGAGTGGCGTATCATCCGTACGCGATGGGGAGAATGGAGAAGCTGTGGGGAAAAGACTGGAGCGAGTTCAAGCCAGAGAGGTGGTTGAAGAGGGAAGAAGAGGACACGTGGAGCTTTGTGGGGAGGGATTCATATACATATCCGGTGTTTCAGGCAGGACCGAGGATTTGTTTAGGGAAGGAGATGGCGTTCTTGCAAATGAAGAGAGTAGTAAGTGGGGTTTTGAAGAGGTTTAAGGTGGTGCCGGTGATAGAGGAGGGTGTTGAGCCGGAGTTTGTGGCGCATTTGACGGCCAAGATGAAAGGTGGGTTTCCGGTCAGGATTGAGGAGAGGAACGAGTCCAAGTGACAGTGGGTGATTATAATGATTATGATCGGAGTTTCTTGTATTTCCGTTCGGATTATTTTCTTCCGTTTCTTTTTGTTTTAATTGCAGCAATAATGATTATTAAAACAATAAAATGAAGTTTTAATATATACTATTAAAACATAAATTATAAATTAATATATATTACTAAAAACATAAATTATAAAATCAAAAATCAAAATAACAATTTTTATAACTACATCTTTATAAAGTTATAATATTTTTTATAGTAATAAGTTTTTGTATCTATATAAAAAATTTACTAATATTTTTAATTTGGTGTTATATTATGGATAGATCAAAGTTGACTTTGGTTGATTAGTAGTTTAATAGTAGTGAATCGAAGTATTATATATGAGTAGATATATCCAACATCTAACTAATGCCTTTTTATATATATATATTAATTAAAACTGATTTTTTTTTTAACTTGTCCTAATGCATCTTTATTATTATTTGTTTCACAATTTTTTATTTAAATAATGCTATTCTAAAAAGGTTTATATACAGGAAAGCTTAGTATATACAGTGACATGGCACACTATGATTGAAAAGTGAAAATACAAAGTTAATTCATTAATGAAGGGGAAATGTCACCTTAATTGTATACTTGGTTTTATATATAAACTTCAGAAGAGTAGTACCACTTTTCTTATTTATAAAACATAAAAAATATGAGGGTTATTGCATGTAATGAATAATGTTTAGTTCATAACCTAATCCATAACCTTCTCTCACAACCTTAAATGTGACAATTAGTAAATAGACAAGTAAGACCTATAACAAACAAGAAACTAACAGATTACAAACTGTCATGTCAAGTTTGTTTTGGTGAAATCATTTTTTAATTATATATAGTTTTACAGTGGGGTCGAAACAGACCACCAATTTAATCACATCACAGACTCTTTTTGCAGTACATAAACATGCACATACCGTAAATAATTTTTTTTTTATTCGGGCATTAATCATCGCTGAGAAGCAGCTCTTAAATAACTGTTTTAGAAAATTTACGAATATAAATTCCCATACATTAAACTTAAGCTAGCTGCGTGTAATAGGAAAAAATAGAAAGGATCACCACTAATGTGCTTCAGCCCAAGTTCTGAAATTTTGTCACAATTGTTAAAGGTTAATGCTTGGTTGTTGGTACAATCTTTTAAGAGGTCCAACCCAGTATCTGTGACATCAGAACCACAAAGATCAACAGAGAGTAAAGAAGACGACCCTGGTGAAGCAATAACATCCATCCAACTATCCTTCACTCCAGGATATTCACCCAACAAAACAACCTAAAACATAACGCGGCTACTTTATAACGGAAAGCCTCCATCAAGAGCTAAACAAAGTATAGCAGCTTAATTATAATCAGTACTTCAATGCTCAAACCACCCACAAAGTCTTACCTGTAGAGCACAATCTCGGAAAGCTTCCACAGAAGCATCAGTAAGACCATGAGAAGATATCAATTCATTGAAGATTTGTTGGCTTATATATGTCTTCTTTATTGCCAACCTGCAATGAGGGAACAGTAGAAGTTGTATAATTTATGAGTTGTAGGGCACTTCTATCAAAAAAAATGGCATACACAACATTCATGACCACCCATGTCAAAACTCCTACAAACACTCATAAGGGAATATATATTCATTTTCCTAAAACATGGATAAGATATTGAGGTGTTATACAATTATTGAGGTGTTATACAAACATTAAGAAAGTTTGGAGTGGCTAAAACTGGTCATACACATCATTCCTACGGTAATAGACAATGAGGAATGTCACCAAGGAAAGACACCTGCATACAACTAATAATCCCAGGGAAAGGAAAGGCCATCATTAATCAAATATTAAATTCTTAAAACTAAAGGATTTATTTTTAGAAAAGTAGGCACAACCATGCAGGAAACTTACTAGAACTGCCCAAAAGGGTACTCTGTTACTTTTCAAGGGGTATCTAAGATCAATCATCATATACTTCCCAACAAAACAGTAAAATGGTTGCATAAGCAAGAGGATGGCAATTATCACCACAAGAAGCAAAAGTATCAGCCAATCATGCATGTGTCCTTGCAACTCTAACTCCATGAGACTTGACAGTTTGTGAAACAATCTGGGCCTCCATCATTCTGTTCTGCGAATTATACACACATCAGAATAAATTTGGATTAATTGGATATCAAGCTATTAGCTCATCCAAAAGGCATATTCAATAAAATAAGGAAGCTTATTGTGTTTTATTTAGCTATCTGTGAGCATGGTCTAGGTTTTTCTTTCTAACATTGACCTACATAAAGTTCAGATTAATTCATTATATGAGCATGAGAGTTCTTTCTTAAGTTTTGCTATTATGTTTATATTAGTAATCTAATAGTTGCATTGTTATTTAATCTTCAAAATTAGTAGATAAGATTATATAAACAGACAAAATATGCAGATTCAGAATCGAATAAAGAAATAGTGCTCTCGTCTACCATTTAAACTGCTTTTTGAGGGTCCATTACATTGTATCCATCTCTTAGCTTCACCTCCTTCAGCTCCACCTCAAAGTACCTTGCAAATTTCTCCCAGCAAACCTAACGAAAGAGACTTTATGTTATAATTAATTAACGATAATTCATAAATGGGAACAGTTAAAATCACATTTGGAGTAATAATGAGCACAGAAAGAAAACACACCGTTTAGATCGACCAACCTTGGGCTCTTTGTCAATGGCGGAGATGAGATCGGAGGGGAGATCGACGCAGAGGAGAGGGTCAGGCGATTGTTGCAATGCGGAGGCGACTATAGACTCTAGCTGCGCCACCAATATGCTAAATCGCAAGACCGGAGTGGAAGAATCGAGAGGTCACCGGCAAGTGCCGGAAGTAGGACGACGGTGACGCATCTGGAGGTGATTGTGGTGTCGCACGGAGGAGGTGATAGAGCAGTGGCATGTGAGATGGAGAGCGAGTGAATCGACAGAGGTGTGATTGTAAGAGCCGAAGATGGATTTTTGGAACTTCCACTAACCTCGCTTTACTTCAATGGAAGCTCTTTGATTGCCAATTGAAATAGGAGAAGCCTGAGACAGCAATGCAATTCAATATTAGACAAAGCACCATCAAGGAACTTCAAAAATCAGAGATGCTAATAATATTATAGCAGTTGAAGCTTTGCAACATTCTTCAAAAAATTCTTAGTGCATAGAGCACAAATTCATGAAAAGGATAACTGACATAACATAAATATACACAGAAAAGGACCTCGATAGAGAATATAGCAAATTTTGTCTCAGCTCAACGTCATTAAATTGAAGGAAAAGAAAATGCATTAGATTTCTAAACTTTCATTTCAAGACAAACATCACATCCAGCTGAGGATTACCAGAAAAAAAAAGGGGCAAAAAAAGAATGTGACATTATGCAAATTATGGTCCACAAGCATTTTATGAACATCTTTAAAGTTCTCAGAGTTTATTATCCACAGATGTTCTCCATCTCAATTTTATGTTGTCATTACATTAAAAATTTTGGTTAAAGCACCTACAAAAATCCAACCAAGCCTTGAAAAGATGCACCTTGCAAAGAAATTTTTTATAAAGATTTTAAGGTATCTGAAATTATCAACTAAAATAGTAAACAAACCATTCTGAACAATAGAAACAATAGTTTCAGTTTACCCTCTAATAAAGGTAGATGGCCCTAAAATATCCCAAATTTTAGCTTTCACACAACTAATAAAATTCATTAGGAGATCACAGAACCAGACTAAGAATATAAGCCAGTTTCAAGCAAGTAGTTACAAAGGGCAAGACGGAATCCATGGAGGTTGCACGCCATAAACTTAAGGTTAATTAAAGGCAGAAAGAGATTGGCGAACCCAACTATGACAGCAAAAATATCAAACTACAGGAAATATGATACAACCAATGGAAGAAAAAGGCTGTACCTTGAGCACACTTTGCACTGAACTGGCAGATTCAAATTCTACAAAACCGAAACAGTTCCCTGTTTGCTGTAGAAAGAAGTATGTCAAACATGTGAATGAGTATCATGCCAAAAATATAGAAGGGCTCAAAATAAGTTTGAAAAAGACCTTCTGACTTCTAACTTGAATGCCATCTGGTTTAATAGGCCCAAATTGCTCAAAAACCACCAGTTGTCCAACTGTTGCAGTACAAGCAAGTTTCAACAAATAGGAGTGACCCTAACTGCTATATGTACAATGAAAATCATTAAGACAGAGCAGTAGAGAAATAACTGTGTAATGTATAATTCCCAAATCAACAAGATAAGAATCTACTGATGTAGACGAATGAAATAAAAACCTGCATATTATTGTTTCATCCACGGAACTGTTGCTATTAGGAGCAGTTCTATGCTGCTGCTGCAGTGACCGTGATTGTCCACAAGTTTAACAGATGGAACCCTGAGAACAACAATAAATGGGAATTACTCTTTTTCAAATCATGTACCTGAAAATATAATAAGAAAGACATTTAAAAATGTTAAATGATCATGATTTGTAAGATGCCTATATATATTAGCGTACCACTGATGCAAAAGATTTCTTGGGGACTTCGTCTTGTGTTTTAGAAGCAAGGGTCTGTGGACCGGAGGGGCATCATTCTGGATTGAAATGATTGGATGCCCTGGAACACCACTTTCTAGCCACCAAAAAATTTTCCATTGTCCAATGGATGACTGACTTCTTTGCCGTTTTCAGTTGCTCATTTGCAGGGGTTGGTGAATTGTGATTCACAGCATGGTTATTGGGAGCATGAATTGGCTCTGTGACCAAACCAGAACAATAAATTTTTTTTTTCAAACACATTAATAAAGAAAGCAATGCCACAATTGAAACCGAGCAACCGAAAAATAAAATGCAGCCAAAGGAGCTGTGGAGCACTTTCATCAGCTTTATTATTTACAACCCCTTTAGATTCTTCTTTGTCTTCCATAATGATTTTCATCCACATATCTGAAAACATCATTAAGACAAAGTATCTTTGTCTTGTGAGCTAGAAAAAATGATTTGAGTGAATTTCCTTCTCAAATTATCCTTTGCAAGCAAACAACCAGTTACCAAAACAATCAATCCCTTACTATACGAAGCTTGAGCATCAGCAGAAAATACCTGGACCTTAAAATTCTGATGGTCCATAAACAAAATCTTGTATTTATGCCCTGCTCCAGAAAGGAAAAACACCAATTAATTAAAATCAATTAACATAACAAACAAAGAAAAAATCAAAATTAACCGCCTTATAAATAAATTAAAAAAAAAAATACGGACAACATGAATGTGTTCTGTGTGGTTCAATTATGCCCTAACTTGAAATTTGACTTAGTTTGACTTGTTGATATGGTGTAACCAGTTAAAAGAACAGTAAGTATATACAAATATTGTTACAGTCAGCTTACTTGATGGTCTTCTCATAGCACCGGAAGGATCTGGCCGGCTTAGCATATTTGATTCCTGATAAAATCTGTGGAACATTATCAGGTGTGATGGACAAAGACTGTAGTATTGCTCCACAAGGCATTCCCAACTATTCGGGACTTAAGGCAGAAGAATCTGCCTGCATTGCCATCTGTACAAACAGAATATGAAGAATCAGCTATGCATTGCAAACAGAAGTAACCCTCTTTTTGAGTCTTACAAAAGAAAATCATAACTGAGATACCATAAATATTGAACTACAAACAATTCTACAATTCAAAATCTTAGAGATAGTCAAAAAGCAAGAAAGTTAATAAACATTAAAAAAGAAAAATTGTTAGCCAAAATAGGAATCTGAAACACATAATTAAGCTTGGGAAAACTCAACTTAGCAAAATAAGGAGAAAATTTAACTGACGGGCCATTCCTAAGTTGGATTTAAAAAGGGGGTCTTAAACTGTTTACCATTTTTTTTTTAATTTAGAGAGCGACGTCCTAGTTAGTAATACGGGTACGGCAAAAAAACGGGACGGAATTATACGGGAAATACGGTAAACGATAAAAAATACGTTTATAAAATTCGGTCATAAAATCGGATACGGAAAAAATACGGTAAGGGTATATACGGGTTTAATACGGTGCATTGTCAATAATACGTTTTGAAAAATACGGCAAATCAATCTTAGTTTAACACTTTTATGGACTACTGGTTAAAATCAACATAACATTTCAAATGCAAAGTATTCAATTACCAATAACACAAATACCATATATAACTGATATTCAAAATTTAGTCTCCAGACTCAAACACAATATTTAGCCAAGATTCAACTATAGTCAAATTAAACACATAAGTCATAACAGAATGGGTTATGAGAGTGATAATTTTAACGCTGCTGATGAGTGATGAGCCTCTTCTGTTTTTCAGGCCTTGGGATAAGAGGGTTAAAATTAATCTATTACTATAATCAAACTATTTTGACGTATGTTTATTTATTGGTTATAATGGATTTATTAGTATATTTATTTATTTGAATATAAGAAATAATTTTTATTTTACAATTAAATAATAGAGAGTCACATATTTAATAGGGTGAATGACATTTTCTCAACCTAAAGTTTGGCGAATCTATATTCCCACCCATTATTAAAATTTACGTTAATTTTAATGATTAAAAGATATTCTTGTCAGTCTAGTCTGCATAAATTATTATAAAGTTAAATTACTACCGTCCTAAAATACAAATGATGGTAATACCTTCATTAACTTGGAAATTAGTCAATTAAACTCCTATCTCAATTTATAAAAATATATTTTTATAAAAATCAGGTTATTAAATAAAGAAAAGTAAGTTTTAAAAAATAAAATAAAATAAATGTATAATAATAAATAACCATTTTTATAATTAAGAAAAAAAATCAAATTTAAAAATAAAAATATAAAAAATAAATAAAATTGCCCCCGCCTTTTATCCTTCTCCCACAACTACCGCCACAAAGTCAAAATCCTCCAACCCAATATTTCCCCAGCCCGTTACCTTCTCCCACACCCCACCGCACAAAATCCTCCACCCCAATATTCTTTCAGGCTTTCAAACTTACCAGTACTATTTGTTCCCTTGCTTGCTTTCGCTTTGCCGCTCAAAAAGACAAAGATTTCAGTCTAAATAAAGGGGTTACGCACCTCCCTCATCCCCAAAATCTAACAACCTTGCCCCCACCTTCATCATCTTTCGAAACCACTACGAAATGTAGCAGGGCCACCTCTCTAATTTCTTTTCTTCTTTCTCTTCATTCTTGTTTCCCTCTCACTGTTAGTTTAATGTTTCATGGATTGTTCATTTTCAAAGTGAATTGATGGTTGTTTGGGGCGCATTGTGACTGTCGAAGAACTGAAGAAGGAGGACGAACCAGATCTATTTTATTTTTTGTATAACCCACCAAAACGACGTCGTTTTGGGGGTGTGAGATTTTGTTTTTTTTTTTCAAAAATTCGCGAATAATTCGCGAATTATACGCGAATTATACGGAAAACCTTATTATACGCGAATTATAGGCGATTTTATAAAATACATACGCGCGTTTTATACGCGAATTTACGACTGTCCGTATAATTCGCGATAATACGCGTTTTTACTAACTAGGGCTGACGTGGCACAGATAGGAGTCATTAAACATGGAAATGGGTTAAAATAAAAAGATTAAAACATATAAGGATAAAATCATAATAATGAAAGTTTTAAATTTAAAATTTACAAAAGAGCCCAAATATTCAAATCGCTTAATCGAAACCAATTAAGGCAAAAATCGATATCTTCAATCCCTAAACGCATCTTAGCAATTTTCGGCGATATCAGTTCACATTCGGCGATAACAGTCCACAATCCGGCAAATTTTTACACCCAAATTCAATCCTAAAGCTTCTTCCTTCTTAAAACTATGGCTGACTTTAACAATGAGGAGGAAAACAACGCCTCTTCGAATCGTAGACTCCGGCCGCGCAAGCAGTCAATGGCTGCTCTGGTGGATCCTCCGATAGTAGTGAAGGTGTTACGCAGCGGAGACGACAGCGACACAACAAGAGAGGAAGAGGAGCAAAACGTTCTGAAGGGGAAGAGGAGGCCGGGCAGAATTAGGCCAGAAAGAGGAGCCGACGAGAGTTCAGAGGAGGAGGAGGAGGCGCGCAGGAGGAGGCCACCGAAGAAAAGGTATTGTACTTGTGAGACCTAAGATCGCTTAAGCAATTGATGACTTTTACTCTTGGTCGCTTAAGCTATTTGGATTGCTTAAGAGTAAAATTGATGAATCGCTTAAGCAATATAAAAGTCGCTTAAGCGATCTTAGATCTGGCAGATGTTGTTCTGTCTCGTACAAGATCTCTTAAGTGATCTTTCCGAGGCAGAACCAAATCTTCCCAGATCTAATCTCTTAAGCGATCCTTTGTATCGCTTAAGCGATTTAGATCGTTAAGAGATCTTGTAGAGGCAGAATCATCTGCCATCGCTTAAGCTACTTCAGAGATATTTGTTTAATTTGATTGGGTGAATTTTTTTGCTGATATTTTGTTTATACGATGTGCAGATTTTTCTGAGCGTAAACTTAGAGAGTAGGATTGGAGGTTGTAAGTGTGATACGGTACCGTACTTCCGTGAGGGTGATAGTGAGGTCAAGTTGGGATGTTTTAATGAGAATAACGAGGGTTTAGGGACAGTGAGGAATGGTGAAAGGAGATTCAAGAGACTTGTTTCAGTCATTTTTGGGTATGGACACAAAATGGAAAAAGACATTCTGGGGGTCGGGAGTGATATATGTTGGTGCACTCAATAAAAAGCAACAAAAGCACGAAATGTGGTTCATGGTGGATGGAATGCCAGTACGTTCGGGATGATGGATATGCGTTGGTGACTGGTTAAGAGTGGGGAATTGTCAGTGAGGTTGAGGAAAAAAGAATAACGGACAGTTGGAGCCAAAAGGTTGGCTAAAAGGTTTTGGTGGGGAGAAGTCTATTAAGGCATAGGAATTAGAGGACAGGTTAAAAGATTAACGATTCAGAGACGTTCAAACTGTGCTTGGTATTGTTCTTACATTCGATCCTAATGGCTAGTGACTCAACAAAAGCCTTGATATTGATTGGGTGAAGTTTGTAAGCAACTTGAACTTCTTTATGCTTATCCGTGGGGACGGGTATCATTTAAGCGAACTATGGAGTCCCGCAAGAAAAGACCTGGCGTTAGCACTCTCTATGGGCTGAGAAGAAAAGACCAGCGACGTACAATTTGTTTGGCTTCCCATGGGCAATGCAGGTAATATTAATAGCTTTTTGTTATATTTTTTTAATATATGTGTTTGAATTAGATATGGACTGTTTTTTAAAATGTAGGCTTGAGTATGAGGACCACTACCTGGCTAAGGCAAGGGGGAGGATTAGGGCTTGGTTGTGCAACAGACATTTTAGGATGTTGCAGGTGCACGACCAGATGAGTGTACCCATTCGGATTATGAGCAAATAGAGATTGAAATTCAATCAGCTCAGGTAAGATTAAAGGATTAAGCTTGAACATGCACTTGCTTTAAAATGTCGATTAAATCTGATTGATTTGTTTCTTATGCAGGGGGTTGTCTGTCCCTTCCTCACCGCTACTGGGGGTGAAGCGCAACAGCACTATGTCACTCTTTCGAGCACTAGAGGATCAAGGGAGAAGGGATAGACCGTCTGATGCGGGACCTAGAAAGGGTCAACACTGTGAGGGCAGTTGCAGGGCCACTGCTTGAGAATGTGGTTGACGCCGAGGAGGATGAAGGCGCAATCGGTGGGAGGGAGGAGGAGGGGGAGGGAGGAAGGGTTCGTAGCCGCAGCAAATCGTACAACAAGTACCGCTTTACCGAGGCGTCGGGGTCGGGAGAGTGAGGTGGTTGACCTCATAAAGAGTTTGTTTGATAAGATGGAAAAGCAGTTGAAAAGGGTGGAGGAGAAAGTGGATAAGGTGGCACAGAAAGTTGTTAAGGTGGAGGAGGAAGTTGGTAGGGTGCAGGAGGAAGTTGGTGGAGTATTGAAGGCGGTTAAAGTGCAACCTGGGCTGAAAAGAGAGAGCTGAAAGAGCAGGTTTGTGAAATTGCCTTACACCGTACTAACACGTGGAATTAAAAGGAAAACAAAGAAAGAAATTGAGTAAGAAGCCAAAATTGAGGGGGTTAAAGAGGTTTCTAGAGGAAGTGAGGCAGTTATAATGGAGGAGGTTGAGGCGGGAGGCGAAGGAAGCGGGGATGTACAAATGGAGGAAGAGGGAGGAAGCGGGCAAGAAAAAATGGAGTCCATTGTCGATTTGTATAGGCCAATAGAGGAGGAAAAGAAAAAACCCTTCTATGCCTATTACAATGAATCCGAAAGTGATGCCCTTGTAAAGTGTAAGACTGGGGATTATTCTCGGGATTGGTTTGAAAAGATTTTGACGATGGGCAGCTGGCTTCATGACTCGGTGAGTTATTTTCTCTTAATTTTCCTTATTTTTGCTTATATTTTCCATGAGGTATTGTATACTTATCATGTTGTTTTTATTTGATGCAGCACATCGATGAGGTATTGGCACTGATGAGGCTGCAACAAACCAGCAATGGTGATCTACTGTATCCCAATTGTGCCATCACCGATGTGGCCTTTGGCCAAACACTGGCATCGACATATCACAATTTATTGAAAAATGCCATTGGTACATCTGTAGCAAAAGGAGCCAAGCGAAAACGATCGGGCACAGAAGACTTGGACTGCATCCCTAATTATTTTAGGTTTGAGGGACAGGCCCAAATATGGCCACAGTTGGGCAAAGGTTAAAAGTGTCTACTGCATTATCCTGGTCAAGGAAATGCACTGGATAGCAGTCGTCGCGCTCTTAGAGGAGAGGTTGCTGAAAATCCTTGACTGCAACCCAACAATTTGTCGAGACAAGTAGTTGGAGGCCGAGTTGGAGGCACTATCCGTGTTGTTCCCGCGGCTGTTGTGTGAGAGTGGGATATTTGAGCACCTCGGTGATGAAGCATTGACGGGAAAGTGGCCACTCAAGCGCGTTCCCATCCCAACAAATGAGTCAAGGTAAATTTTGTATAAACCTAACTTACATAATACAATTGTTCTATAAGCTGATTCTAATGCTAATGGCATCTTCCTATTACAACGCTGATTGTGGGGCATATGCCCTGAAATTTATTCAGTTCGACATGACCAACAGCCTAATGGACGGATTGAATGACGAAACAATGACCATCTTTCGGGAGCGCTGGGCTGTTGAGTGCTTCCATGGGGAAATGGATCCGTTTTGAGTGACCACAATCCAATCAAAAGGTTTGGAACTTGTACTTTTAATTTTGTAGTTTATGTGATGTTGATGTTCATACTTGGGTTACGGTGCTGATGTTGCAGGTGTCATGCTTATACACAGCTTTACCGAAATAGACGGACTCAGTGAACTTTTAAATCTTGCACTCCATAACTTCGGTTNGAGCACACTTTGCACTGAACTGGCAGATTCAAATTCTACAAAACCGAAACAGTTCCCTGTTTGCTGTAGAAAGAAGTATGTCAACATGTGAATGAGTATCATGCCAAAAATATAGAAGGGCTCAAAATAAGTTTGAAAAAGACCTTCTGACTTCTAACTTGAATGCCATCTGGTTTAATAGGCCCAAATTGCTCAAAAACCACCTTAAGTTGTCCAACTGTTGCAGTATCAAGCAAGTTTCCAACAAATATGGAGTGACCCTTAACTGCTATATGTACAATGAAAATCATTAAGACAGAAGCAGTAGAGAAATAACTGTGTACATGTATAATTCCCAAATCACACAAGATAAGAATCTACTGATGTAGACGAAATGAAATAAAAACCTGCATTATTATTGTTTTCATCCACGGAACTGTTGCTATTAGGAGCAGTTTCTATAGCTGCTGCTGCAGTGACCGTGATTGTTCCACAAGTTTAACAGATGGAACCCTGAGAACAACATCAAATGGAGAATTACTCTTTTTCAAATCATGTACCTGAAAATATCAATAAGAAAAGACATTTAAAAATGTTAAATGATCATGATATTTGTAAGATGCCTATATATATTAGCGTACCACTGATGCAAAAGATTTCTTGGGGACTTCGTCTTGTGTTTTAGAAGCAAGGGTCTTTGTGACCGGAGGGGCATCATTCTGGATTGAAATGATTGGATGCTCTGGAACAACCACTTTCTCAGCCACCAAAACTTTTCCATTGTCCAATGGATGACTGACTTCTTTGCCGTTTTCAGTGTCCTCATTTGCAGGGGTTGGTGAATTGTGATTCACAGCATGGTTATTGGGAGCATGAATTGGCTCTGTGACCAAACCAGAACAATAATTTTTTTTTTCAAACACATTAATAAAGAAAGCAATGCCACAATTGAAACCGAGCAACCGAAAAATTAAAATGCAGCCAAAGGAGCTGTTGGAGCACTTTCATCAGCTTTATTATTTACAACCCCTTTAGATTCTTCTTTGTCTTCCATTTAATGATTTTCATCCACATATCTGAAAACATCATTTAAGACAAAGTATCCTTTGTCTTGTGGAGCTAGAAAAAATGATTTGAGTGAATTTCCTTCTCAAATTATCCTTTGCAAGCAAACAACCAGTTACCAAAACAATCAATCCCTTACTATACGAAGCTTGAGCATCAGCAGAAAATACCTGGACCTTAAAATTCTGATGGTCCATAAACAAAATCTTGTCATTTATGCCCTGCTCCAGAAAGGAAAAACACCAATTAATTAAAATCAATTAACATAAACAAAACAAAGAAAAAATCAAAATTAACCGCCTTATAAATTAAATTAAAAAAAAAAATACGGACAAACATGAATGTGCTTCTGTGTGGTTCAATTATGCCCTAACTTGAAATTTGACTTAGTTTGACTTGTTGATATGGTGTGAACCCAGTTAAAAGAACAGTAAGTATATACAAATATTGTTACAGTCAGCTTACTTTGATGGTCTTCTCATAGCACCGGAAGGATCTGGCCGGCTTAGCATATTTGATTCCTGATAAAATCTGTGAACATTATCAGGTGATGGACAAAGAATACTGTAGTATTGCTCCACAAAGGCATTCCCAACTACTTCGGGACTTAAGGCAGAAGAATCTGCCTGCATTGCCATCTGTACAACACAGAATATGAAGAATCAGCTATGCATTGCAAACAGAAGTAACCCTCTTTTTGAGTCTTACAAAAGAAAATCATAACTGAGATACCATAAATATTGAACTCAAACAATTTCTACAATATCAAACTCTTAGAGATAGTCAAAAAGCAAGAAAGTTAATAAACATTAAAAAAGAAAAATTGTTAGCCAAAATAGGAATCTGAAACACATAATTAAGCTTGGGAAAAACTCAACTTAGCAAAATAAGGAGAAAATTTAACTGACGGGCCATTCCTAAGTTTGGATTTAAAAAGGGGGTCTTAAACTGTTTACCATTTTTTTTTTAATTTAGAGAAGCTGACGTCCTAGTTAGTAAATACGGGTACGGCAAAAAAACGGGACGGAATTATCGGGGAGAATACCGGTTAAAACGATAAAAAATACGTTTATAAAATTCGGTCATAAAACGGATACGGGAAAAAATACGGTAAGGGTATATACGGGTTTAATACGGTGCATTGTCAATAATACGTTTTGAAAAATACGGCAAATCAATCTTAGTTTAACACTTTTATGGACTACTGGTTAAAATCAACATAACATTTCAAATGCAAAGTATCAATTAACCAATAACACAAATACCATATATAACGATATTCAAAATTTAGTCTCCAGACTCAAACACAATATTTAGCCAAGATTCAACTATATCAAATTAAACACATAAGTCATAACAGAATGGGTTATGAGAGTGATAATTTTAACGCTGCTGATGAGTGATGAGCCTCTTCTGTTTTTCAGGCCTTGGGATAAGAGGGTTAAAATTAATCTATTACTATAATCAAACTATTTTGACGTATGTTTATTTATTGGTTATAATGGATTTATTAGTATATTTATTTATTTGAATATAAGAAATAATTTTTATTTTACAATTAAATAATAGAGAGTCACATATTTAATAGGGTGAATGACATTTTCTCAACCTAAAGTTTGGCGAATCTATATTCCCACCCATTATTAAAATTTACGTTAATTTTAATGATTAAAAGATATTCTTGTCAGTCTAGTCTGCATAATTATTATAAAGTTAAATTACTACCGTCCTAAAATACAAATAGATGGTAATACCTTCATTAACTTGGAAATTAGTCAACTTAAACTCCTATCTCAATTTATAAAAATATATTTTTATAAAAATCAGGTTATTAAATAAAGAAAAGTAAGTTTTATAAAAATAAAATAAAATAAATGTATAATAATAAATAACCATTTTTATAATTAAGAAAAAAAATCAAATTTAAAAATAAAAATATAAAAAATAAATAAAATTGCCCCCCCTTTATCCTTCTCCCACAACTACCGCCACAAAGTCAAAATCCTCCAACCCAATATTTCCCCAGCCCGTTACCTTCTCCCACACCCCACCGCACAAAATCCTCCACCCCAATATTCTTTCAGGCTTTCAAACTTACCAGTACTATTTGTTCCCTTGCTTGCTTTCGCTTTGCCGCTCAAAAAGACAAAGATTTCAGTCTAAATAAAGGGGTTACGCACCTCCCTCATCCCCAAAATCTAACAACCTTGCCCCCACCTTCATCATCTTTCGAAACCACTACGAAATGTAGCAGGGCCACCTCTCTAATTTCTTTTCTTCTTTCTCTTCATTCTTGTTTCCCTCTCACTGTTAGTTTAATGTTTCATGGATTGTTCATTTTCAAAGTGAATTTGATGGTTGTTTGGGGCGCATTGTGACTGTCGAAGAACTGAAGAAGGAGGACGAACCAGATCTATTTTATTTTTTGTATAACCCACCAAAACGACGTCGTTTTGGGGGTGTGAGATTTTGTTTTTTTTTTTCAAAAATTCGCGAATAATTCGCGAATTATACGCGAATTATACGGAAAACCTTATTATACGCGAATTATAGGCAGATTTTATAAAATACATACGCGCGTTTTATACGCGAATTTACGACTGTCCGTATAATTCGCGTATAATACGCGTTTTTACTAACTAGGGCTGACGTGGCACAGATAGGAGTCATTAAACATGGAAAATGGGTTAAAATAAAAAGATTAAAACATATAAGGATAAAATCATAATAATGAAAGTTTTTAAATTTAAAATTTACAAAAGAGCCCAAATATTCAAATCGCTTAATCGAAACCAATTAAGGCAAAAATCGATATCTTCAATCCCTAAACGCATCTTAGCAATTTTCGGCGATATCAGTTCACATTCGGCGATAACAGTCCACAATCCGGCAAATTTTTACACCCAAATTCAATCCTAAAGCTTCTTCCTTCTTAAAACTATGGCTGACTTTAACAATGAGGAGGAAAACAACGCCTCTTCGAATCGTAGACTCCGGCCGCGCAAGCAGTCAATGGCTGCTCTGGTGGATCCTCCGATTAGTGAAGGTGTTACGCAGCGGAGACGACAGCGACACAACAAGAGAGGAAGAGGAGCAAAACACGTTCTGAAGGGGAAGAGGAGGCCGGGCAGAATTCAGGCCAGAAAGAGGAGCCGACGAGAGTTCAGAGGAGGAGGAGGAGGCGCGCAGGAGGAGGCCACCGAAGAAAAGGTATTGTAACTTGTGAGACCTAAGATCGCTTAAGCAATTGATGACTTTTACTCTTGGTCGCTTAAGCTATTTGGGTTGCTTAAGAGTAAAATTGATGAATCGCTTAAGCAATATAAAAGTCGCTTAAGCGATCTTAGATCTGGCAGATGTTGTTCTGTCTCGTACAAGATCTCTTAAGTGATCTTTCGAGGCAGAACCAAATCTTCCCAGATCTAATCTCTTAAGCGATCCTTTGTATCGCTTAAGCGATTTAGATCGTAAGAGATCTTGTAGAGGCAGAATCATCTGCCCATCGCTTAAGCTACTTCAGAGATATTTGTTTAATTTGATTGGGTGAATTTTTTTGCTGATATTTTGTTTATACGATGTGCAGATTTTTCTGAGCGTAAACTTAGAGAGTAGGATTGAGGTTGTAAGTGTGATACGGTACCGTACTCCGTGAGGGTGATAGTGAGGTCAAGTTGGGATGTTTTAATGAGAATAACGAGTGTTTAGGGACAGTGAGGAATGGTGAAAGGAGATTCAGAGACTTGTTTCAGTCATTTTTGGGTATGGACACAAAATGGAAAAAGACATTCTGGGGGTCGGGAGTGCATATATGTTGTGCACTCAATAAAAAGCAACAAAAAGCACGAAATGTGGTTCATGGTGGATGGAATGCCAGTACGTTCGGGATGATGGATATGCGTTGGTGACTGGTAAGAGTGGGGAATTGTCAGTGAGGTTGAGGAAAAAAGAATAACGGACATTTGGAGCCAAAAGGTTGGCTAACAAGGTTTTGGTGGGGAGAAGTCTATTAAGGCATAGGAATTAGAGGACAGGTTAAAAGATTAACGATTCAGAGACGTTCAAACTGTGCTTGGTATTGTTCTTACATTCGATCCTAATGGCTAGTGACTCAACAAAAGCCATTGATATTGATTGGGTGAAGTTTGTAAGCAACTTGAACTTCTTTATGCTTATCCGTGGGGACGGGTATCATTTAAGCGAACTATGGAGTCCCGCAAGAAAAGACCTGGCGTTTAGCACTCTCTAATGGGCTGAGAAGAAAAGACCAGCGACGTACAATTTGTTTGGCTTCCCATGGGCAATGCAGGTAATATTAATAGCTTTTTGTTATATTTTTTTAATATATGTGTTTGAATTAGATATGGACTGTTTTTTAAAATGTAGGCTTGGAGTATGAGGACCCTACCTGGCTAAGGCAAGGGGGAGGATTAGGGCTTGGTTGTGCAACAGACATTTTAGGATGTTGCAGGTGCACGACCAGAGAGTGTACCCATTCGGATTATGAGCAAATAGAGATTGAAATTCAATCAGCTCAGGTAAGATTAAAGGATTAAGCTTGAACATGCACTTGCTTTAAAATGTCGATTAAATCTGATTGATTTGTTTCTTATGCAGGGGGTTGTCTGTCCCTTCCTCACCGCTACTGGGGGTGAAGCGCAACAGCACTATGTCACTCTTTTCGAGCACTAGAGGATCAAAGGGAGAAGGGATAGACCGTCTGATGCGGGACCTAGAAAGGGTCACACACTGTGAGGGCAGTTGCAGGGCCACTGCTTGAGAATGTGGTTGACGCCGAGGAGGATGAAGGCGCAACGGTGGGAGGGAGGAGGAGGGGGAGGGAGGAAGGGTTCGTATGCCGCAGCAAATCGTACAACAAGTACCGCTTTACCGAGGCGTCGGGTCGGGAGGAGTGAGGTGTGACCTCATAAAGAGTTTGTTTGATAAGAGGAAAAGCAGTTGAAAAGGGTGGAGGAGAAAGTGGATAAGGTGGCACAGAAAGTTGTTAAGGTGGAGGAGGAAGTTGGTAGGGTGCAGGAGGAAGTTGGTGGAGTATTGAAGGCGGTTAAAGTGCAACCTGGGCTGAAAGAGAGAGCTGAAAGGAGTGGTTGTGAAATTGCTACACACGTACTAACAGTGGAATTAAAAGGAAAACAAAGAAAGAAATTGAGTAAGAAGCCCAAATTGAGGGGTTAAAGAGGTTTCTAGAGGAAGTGGGCAGTTATAATGGAGGAGGTGAGGCGGGAGGCGAAGGAAGCGGGGATGTAAAAATGGAGGAAGAGGGAGGAAGGGGCAAGAAAAAATGGAGTCCATTGTCGATTTGTATAGGCCAATAGAGGAGGAAAAGAAAAAACCCTTCTATGCCTATTACAATGAATCCGGAAGTGATGCCCTGTTTAAAGGTAAGACTGGGGATTATTCTCGGGATTGGTTTGAAAAGATTTTGACGATGGGCAGCTGGTTCATGACTCGGGATGGTATTCTCTTAATTTCCTTATTTTTGCTATATTTCCATGAGGTATTGTATACTTATCATGTTGTTTTATTTGAGCAGCACATCGATGAGGTATTGGCACTGATGAGGCTGCAACAAACCAGCAATGGTGATACTGTATCCCAATTGTGCCATCACCGATGTGGCCTTTGGCCAAAAACTGGCATCGACATATCACAATTTATTGAAAAATGCCATTGGTACATCTGGAGCAAAAGGAGCCAAGCGAAAACGATCGGGCACAGAAGACTTGGACTGCATCCTAATATTTTAGGTTTGAGGGACAGGCCCAAATATGGCCACAGTTGGGCAAAGGTTAAAAATGTCTATGCATTATCCTGG